CCTCCAGAGAATCACAGCTGCCTTGACAGACTCTGCACACCGCGATGCGTCGGAGCGGTGGAAGGTAGGCTCCCGGCCAAATGTGGTCCAAGTTGCTCTTGACCGCTTCCATGTCCTTAGACAAATCACTGCATAAACTTTCACGTGCGATGCAAGGACATGGGACCCATCTGGCAGAAAATACGGACAACGTTTCACTACAGAGGGTTCTGGCTTCCCCCGATAATGCTTCTCACTGCTCCTGACGCCTACTGCCACATTCCGAGACCTGTCATTGCATGCAAAAGCCTCACCCATAACGAGCCCGAGCCCTTCAGCCCGACCCAACTAATTCCTCACCTCGTGCTCAGGCCCTGACAGTGTAGGCACGAGTGCTGTTGCTGTACATTCCGTGGATACTCGGCGTGACCTGAAGGCACCATGCCACAAAGAAAAAATGGTCATAGGACAGAGGTCAGCCGCAATCAACTCCATCCTGACAGTAGATACAAGGGTAAAGATTGCATATGTGCGGCATACCGTTTACCGAATGAATCTGCATCTGCGAGAGATTCACATGCTTGTACTGATGAATACCTCACACAAGAGTCTAGAATCCAAAGGCAGAAAAAGCAGCAGCTGCCTCGTAAGAAAGACAAAGTGTCCCTGAAACTGCGCCAAACACGAACACCCGGAATAAGGCTTTCTACTTGAGCTAGCAGCTAGAGCCTCTCAAAAACGCCCGCATGCCTGGGCAAGATGCCGAAACTCATTGGTTTGGGCGTCGAGGAGCTCCTGCTGCTCCTGCAGCATACCTGAAGAAGCCACGAGCAGTTGCGGGATCTTTAGGGCTCGCACGGTAGGGCGGTAGGTTCAGGGTTGCCTATATTTATGTTTTGCAAGCCGCGGCCCTTTGAACTTTGCAATTGAAGCACCCTGACCACCTGCAATCAAGGCAAGCCACGCTCCAAGGCTTCGACACCTTGGACACACCGTATAGGTCACACAACTCGTGTTTCCAAGCTCGAAACACAGCACCTGGCATGGGGAATGATGAATATGCTGTTTTTGGCACTGGGCACACACACACACACAACAGCCGTGACTACAGCAAAAACCCGTTGCAGCTCCTCTGCACAAGGCAAATATACAAGCAGGCGAGGCCAGCAGCATGTATTGAGTGTATTGCATGCACTTCCCTTTGGGAAAGTGCCCTTTTCGGCCGAAGCACGTAGCTGCAAGGCTTCATCACCATGTGCTGCTGCACCCACCACAGCCACGAAAACGCCCAGAAGTCGCATCATGAAGCCTGCAGAAGGTGTTGTTAGACACATGCATACGGTGGCGAAACCATACAGTTGCTGAGATCTTCCAGCTTGCACAACTATTGGCAGTTCAAGCCACGCAAAGTTCTTTGGGGACGGCTTTCGCTTCGGCTACGAGTCCTCCTGCTTCAACACCGATGGAGCCAAAAAGCAATAAATCATGGATAACGCAATAGCTGAGTGATGCCCAATCGCAGATTCCGCACAATTGTCCAGGGAACGCGAGCGGAAAATAGCAAATATCACGCAAGGCCGGCCTGCTTTCCACGAAACAAGAAGGATCAAGAAGGTTCCCGGAACACGAAATAAGCCTTCGAACTTGCTGGTACCAGAACACGAAGTGCCTTGATCTGCGCTATCTCTCCGTCTGCATGCAACGTCTGACAAACCGCTGGCCCGTTGCCGCTTCGAAAAGCGCATCAAGCAAACAGGGGCATTAATGGCGGCATGGCAACGGCATCAACAATGATCCACAGTTCTTTCGACGAAGGGTCACGCTTGAAACCAACAATCAAGGCGCGGTATCGCGAGCCTGCACCCGTTTGAGATGGAGGCCTTTTGAATCAAACATACATCGAACATTGAGATCAACGGATGACAAGCCAAAAAATTTAAATCTGTTGCAGTGTTTCACTGATGTCCGCATTCGCCAATATCAAATTGTGAGATTTCTTTCCAGTCCCGAACCTCAAGAGCATGTCACCGCATGTTTCACGGCAGAAGCGGCTGCAACATCGAGTGGCAGCTCGATGTTCGAACTGATGGAAGCGACAGAACTGTGGCATTTGGTGCCAAAGTGCACCAAGCAGACGTGTCGAAACTTAGCCGCAGGCACAGTTTCGACATCATTCGAGGCTGTTTTGAACGTCTGCACCCACAGTCCAAATAGCAACGGTTTTGGGACATTTGCCCTTGGAGGCAAAGCTTTTGTGGCGGTGTTTAGAATCTGTGCTTCCGGGAGGCTTGACCTCAGAGGCAAAGCTTTTGTGGCCGTGTTTAGAGTCTGGCCAAGTCAAAGTAGCAGACGTGCTTCGGGGAGTCTTGACGTCAGAGGCAAAGCTTGCAAGTCAAAGTAGCAGACGTGCTTCTGGGAGTCTTGACCTCAGAGGCAAAGTTTTTTTTGGCGTTGTTGACTGCTGGCCTTAACGTCAAAGTAACAGACGTGGTTTTGGGAGATCTTAGAGACTAGCGGTGTGTAGAGTCTGGGGTTCAGGGTTTACAGTAAGGTTTAGGGTTTAGGGTTCAGGACCACAGTCATGGCTTGGCAGTTGAAGCCAGAGACATGGTGTTTGGAGGCCTGCCTTCCAAGCCAACAGACGTGGTTCGTAAAGTCTAGCCAAAGGTTTGACCGGCAAGGCAGCAGACATGTTTTTGGGTCCGTGGCCAGGAGAGTCCAGGAGGTTGGTGCCAAGCCCGGCTGTGCGCCGTTCCAGGCGCCACGCCTTCAAAAAGGTGCGCCAATGGGGCCGGCTGTGCGGCTTTGGGTGCGCTCGCCAGCGAAAAAGGGGTCGCGGATACGCGGCATCTGGAGCGGCGCGGCTGACGCCGCGCCCGGTTTTTTTTTTTAATGTGGACCCTTGTCCTCAGACGAAATCCCGCCGCAATGGAGCAAATAATTGTTGGCATCCATGCGAACAAGTTTTTTACTTGTACCCAGACATACCATGTATGTTTGCACAAATGTGTGTGCATACGTATACATACATGCCGGTCTGCATGTCTGTGTGTGCTGACGTGCATGCATTGTGCGGACGTATGTATCAGTACAGAAACGTGTAGTTTATATTCCTCTGAAGTTGTTATACGTTTATATTGAACCAGCTTCATGCAAAATCAGTCGCACAGGCAGCTTGCAGCGAAATCCATATGTCGACAGGCTAATTATGGTTTCGGCAAAGCTTCGTGGTATCATGCTCGTCCAACACAACCGATGGCTTCACATAGTTATAGGTTTCATTTGAACACATCGGAAAGTTTGAGTTTCAATTTGGTTTCATGCGTAACTTTGTTTTCATGTAGGTTGATCTTTTGAGCCGTGTGAGAACCTGCCCGTGTCCCTGTGGTTTCGTGAGACACTACGTATTCATGTTTGCAAACGATGGCCCAACCCCCCGAGGCAAACATCTCAGCTTGTCAGTTTTACCATCAGCAACGTGTGAAGCACCTTGCCTGCGCCAAATGACGCGAGCTCTAGCTGTTGAGATGGCTTGAGCCTAGCCGCTAGCCAGTATGACGAAAGAACGTTGACTTGCCTTTGTACTTTGTATAACATTGTATAACTACATACCGCGGTTAGTTTGTGAATGATGCTGCACGGCCCAGGCATAGTTTCGAAAAGTAAGCAAACACACAAAACAGTTTAAAGACTCTTCACAAACCAGCTGTTGATCGTTGTGTTGCACAGGTCCCGACAAAAGTGCAGGTGCACACTGAATCGAAACGAAATGTGTCGCAACAACGGGGCATGTCATTGGCTTGTGTCAGTGCAGTGATTGCAGAATGCATGGATGCACCGGAATGCGTTTTGGCTGATGGGAAGCAAAACAGCCCCATTGCTGTTCCCGATCCAGTGAAGCTGCGCACACCTCGTCATGGCTGTCAGTGACCCGTCTTTGACAGCGAAGCTTCCGGGAATGCCAATGTGAGCAAAACGTTTTCTATTTTTGGGCGAGTGAAGGCGAAAGAGCGAGGGAGATCGAGCAGGCAAGCAAGCAGGCAGGCAGGCAGACAAGCATTTTTTGCATTGCATTGCAACCACGTAGCGGTGAAGTCTCAGCATGTGCATCTTTACATCCCACTGTAGTGTAACCACAGTTCTAGGACTGCGCACACGAGCTTGAAGCTGAGGCAGACAAGCAAGCAAGCAAAGCAAAAGGAGAAAGAGGGAATCGATAGTTGAAGCAAAAGCGTCGTGGTTCGAGCGCCAGAGCTAAGGCTGGTTTCCGAATTTGTGGGCACGTTCCTGCTCGTGCTGACTGTCGGATGCAATGTTCTAGGAAGCACGAGCACGTGGGGTGGCGTGTCAATCGCTTTCGTTCTCATGGTTTCCATCTATGCAATGGGAGCCATCTCGGGAGCGAATTTTAACCCGGCTGTGTCGGTGACTTTGGGCATTTCGAAGTCTATGGGCGGGCCCGGCCTCGATTGGAAGACCGTCGGTCAATACTCGGCAGTTCAGATGCTGGGCTTTCACTTAATACAGTATGCAGGTCGGATTACAGGACATAAGAAAAGTGCTCCATATGATTCTGTTATGGGCAAATCTTGTTACGTTTTGTGCTGATGTACGACATCGGTAAATAGCATGGCGTTTGTATAAGTTTTCGTTGTTGACTCGAGTTCAACATGCTAAAATTTTGTCCTACTTTCTCGACTGTCGTTGTAATCTCATGTCAATGTGCAAGTATGCAACCCTTGTAGCAGAACCTGATCATGACCACAAGCATCACATGTGTAGCGTATCAATGTGCCTCACTTGCGTAGCAACCATTTGCAGTCGGCTCTTTGCTGCATCTCAAGATCGGCAAAACTTGGAGAGTGCAGCAAATAACACGGTAAGACACTAAGAGAGGTACGCCGAGTGCAGGGTTTTATCCATGCGAACGGAGAAGCATTACTTGACCTCAGGACCCTGGCTGGGATTTCAGCTGCTGTCTGCTACTGCTTGCTGTACGGACGCAGCTTCAACTTGACGCCGTCGGAGGGATTTGGCTGGCTCAATGCCGGGTTGTGCGAGACGCTCTACACGCAGCTTGCCTGACCAGCTTTCCAAGTTTCCGCCGCTTTAGACAAACTTAGATTCGATGTTCGACTGATCTTTTTTTAGGTTCGTGCTTACGTTCGTGGTCCTGAATGTGGCAGCAGCCCGCAAGAATGCGACAGAGCGCAACGAGTACTATGGCATGGCCATTGGGTTGGTCATCGTTGCAGGAGCCTATGGTGCCGGAGCTGTGTCCGGGGGCTGCTTCAATCCCGCTGTCGCTCTCGCAATCGATGTGTCGAGCGCAGCTCGTGGATTTGGCTGGTGTGTGCCCTATGTCCTTTTCGAGCTTGCTGGGGCAGCAGCAGCAGCCGCTCTCTTCAAGCTTGTGCGTCCTGAAGATTTCGGTGGTGAACGCTCCGGACAGGCAGAGCTTGTGTCGGAGTTTCTAGGAACATTCGTGCTCGTTTTGACAGTCGGTTTGAATGTGCTCGCCAAGTCCCCAGCTGGTGCACTCTCGATTGCTGCAGCCTTGACAGCCATGATCTATGCTGTTGGTGACGTCTCCGGAGCTCATTTCAATCCAGCTGTGACACTGGCAATCTTTGCATCGGGCAGGAGCGCGCAGTTGACCCCGGTGAAGGCTAGCATGTACGTTGCTGCTCAGATATGTGGTGGAATCGCGGCGGCTGCCACGTACACATTCATCTATGTTGGGCAATCTTTCCCACTAGGCCCGGTCGCCGGCAGCACGTGGTCGCAGGTCGTGGTCGCAGAGACAATCTTCACCTTTCTGCTGAGCTTTGTGGTTCTCTGCGTTGCCGTGTCATCCAGGACGAAGAGTTCCCAGATGTTCGGACTCCTGATCGGTTCCTGCGTCACAGTCGGAGGCTTCGCGATTGGTGGAATTTCCGGCGGGTCTTTGAATCCGGCAGTCTCTGTGGGGATCGCATCCGCCAATCTTCTCAATGGTGGGCTCTTTTACACGGCTCTGATTTACTCTGCACTGGAGCTCACTGGTGGAGCCATCGCTGTTGGAGTGTTCAGGCTCACACATGATGTGGACCTGGACTCGGCAGAGAAGGAGAAGCTGGTTGCATGAAGCACACCGCAGCTACGGCCCGCTGAAGATTGCAAAACATTGCATTCAGATCCTGCGATGAACTGACAGCGCAGTGCACTACAGGAAAGGGATATCGAAAAGCACGAATGCATGTTTGTCGCAGCTGCTGGCTCCAAAGCCTGGTCCCGTGTGTGTTCTGCGAAGGCAGAGACCTTGAGTTGAGAGTGACCGAGTTGCTTCAACTGCATCATACACCAAGTCGCTGCAAAGGACAGCGCATGCAAATGGCAACTTTGCGCTCCGCTCTGCGCAGTTCTCTGCCCCTGGTGGACCAGGTTGTGTTCTCGGGTGTGGCCAACGACATGAAAGCCTGTACCGCATAGATAGTCCGGATGTTGTGCCGACAGGCCATCAGGCCGACAAGTTCTTTGCAGCTAGTTCGGAACTTCGCTACTACGCAGCTTGCTATTCAAAGATCTGTTGAGTTTGTGACCTTCCGTTCATGTTGTTAGAGCACAATCGAAAGTGCATCTCAGGAAGGCTGCCTCACCAGAAACTCCACTCATGCACTACAAAGCGACGCAGCAGGTCTCCGTAAGCTTACCGCTGTTACGTTGAAACCTGCTCAAGCACCCAAGGCTACGAGCTCCATTAATCATCGAATCTTCTACGTCAACGTGGCGCCGTGACTCCATAGAGCCCTGTGCTGGGAGGACGCATGGGAGCTCTGTCGCAATTCGTGAGGTCGCCATGGTTCTCGTGTACGACCTCGGGTCGTCAATGCTGGACTTCTGAGTGTCAGAGTTTTTAAGTAAGAGGCACGGTCGGCATCCAAGCAGACGCTTCAGCAACACGTAGAAGAGGATCCGCGATCTTGTTGGTTCAGCAGCATGCGAGCCAGGCTACAGATGTGAAGAAGCTTTTCGTTCATTCGCAGTCCTGTGTGGCTCGTAGGAAAAATATGGATGGGTTATATTGGCAGTATTGGCATGGATGTTACAATGTTGCAACATGTTGCAGCGGTTTGTACCGCTCCAGCATCACACCGCATAATTTCACTCGTTCCAAACTTTTACTGTCCTCAAGTTCTCAAGCAGCACGCCTTCTTCCTCGGCTGGTGGCTGACGGCCCGGCTCAGGCAAGTTCGACTCAGTCGCCCGGGCCGTGAGCTCCGTGACTTCTGCTTGTTCTGTTCCTGGCCCGCAGTTTTGGCTCCACAGATTTTGTAGCCATGCCTCGTCTGGCAGTGTCTTCCATGGCGGCCGTGGCCGCACTGGCGGCCGGGGCAGCTTTCGTTGCAGCGCCTGCAAGAGCGCCTGTGGTTCCCAACAAGCGCGGGCCTCGGCATGTCACGCACTGCAGCACCACCGACGTGTAGGGGAGGTGCTGCCGTTCGCATGCTGAGGCCGGCCCCATC